AAACTAAGCATTTCATAATCGTTCGACTTGAGAAGTTGCAATTGACATTTCCGTGAAACGGTGGGGAGTCTTGATTTTCCGGGAAACGAAAAAACATATTAAATACCTGCAAATATCAAAGGTTCTTTAAAGTTAAGATGTAATATTCATTTGGTCTTCCTATAAATACAAAATCTTGGTATTTCTCACAACTTATTTTTGGGTCAGTTTGGAAAACTCGCTGTACTGCCCCATCATAACCATCACGAATCGACCCCGATCAGCGATCACCTCACCCTCCTCCATTTCGGAAATAATCATTAACATAATTAAATCATTAGCGTAATGCTGCCATCAACATAATACACATTTCTCCCTCAACTGTCAGCTACCTCGTTGGCTAGCCCCGAGACACTATGCCCCTATCATTAGCCCAATGTTTCGAGAGGAGTATCTGGGCAGTACCTCGAGGGCTTCCTTGGCTCCGCAATGATTTTACATGATGTGGCTCCGCTTGTTTGATAATTTGACAGCTTGCTTTTTGATATCTCGAATTTCTGGCGGGGTTATCGATTCGATTTTGGTTTGGATTTGCTTTTGGTTTTGGCTTCTGTGAGGGTTGCTAAACGAGTTCAATGCTCTCCCTCACGGGCTGGTTTTGACAGCGCCCTGTTACTCTTGTCAGGTTGTCAGCTTGTCAGATGTCAGGGACAGAGCGCATAGCTTGAAAATTGAAAATCCCGAGACAGGAATGTCTTGGAAGCCATAATTAGCAGGAATCCCCGTATGTGGCAACTTACAAGCATCTTTCCATTGAGGCAAACATAATCCTTTCGAACACATCTGCCACTTGAATAAAATTAAATTAAGGAACCAAGCGAATACGCTTCAAGAACCCGATTGTATGCGGTGATTAATTAAAGGCACGCGCCGCCAAGAGACCCGAAAAAACCGGCTATATACCAGTCGCCAGACAACAGGCCTGCACCATCTGCAGCATCTGAGATCCAAACAACGATGACAACGGAGATTAGCACCCCTTCCGGAACCCAATTTCGCTCTATCTACTGTGTGCGACTAATTACCGTTGGACTCTTAATTAAAGCAACTCCCATTTTCTTTAAACTGTTTCAAGACTTTCGAGGCAGTCAGACGGAAAGGTGCTAAATTACAGGAGAATAGGCAGCAATAGAACAGAAAAAGCGATTGTTGTGGTTAGATAAATGTATAACTATGGGGTTTTGTTAATTCATGAATATCAAAATCTATTTTTCATAAAAGTATTGTCTTTTTTTGTACATCGTACGATTAAAATAAATTAAAAACTTTAATGTTTTATATCCCTTTACTAGTTATAATCTGATAATAAACTTGCAACCCTTTTCTCTTTATTTAACCAATATGAATGGTTTATGTCTGGCGGTCTATGGACAAAACAAAATGTCTGGTCATTTATCTGATTTTGTCTGATTTATTTGGTTTCGTGTGCTATAAGGCTTTGTCTGCCTTAAGCCTTTAAATGTGTTTAGTAGATAAGAACTTTATTATCTGTTTTGAGGGGAAATGCTTTAAAGACATCCAATATGCAACAGCTTGTTGAAAACACAAGGAAACAAAGATATTTTAATAGGAATTTTCAACTATATCTATCACTTTTCACATTCATTTCATTTTGGCGGTCATATCATATCCATCTATCTATCACTTTGCTTATTTATTCCTTTTTTGGCGGTCTTAAATCACACCATTTTGTTAATTAATTATTATCACACACTGTTTCATTTGTCATTTATTTATTATTGCCAGTGGCACGCGACTTTTGTTGCCGGCAAAATCAAAACAAACCATTTCAAAAACCGCACGCGAAGCACTGCGACTGTCTCGACCGATTTTAGTCAGGCTTTTTCCAAAATCAAATGGCGGGAAGACATTGAAAAGTGCGAGAAAACCGGGCTTTTTTCCATTTTCCGCGACGACGGAGCCGTGACGTCAAATGTTGTAAACAATTTTTTCCGACTGACTCGCTCGCACTTGTATTTATAGGTTTTGAACCGAGCCGAAGGCTGCCGAGTGAGTATTTGTTCGAATGAATCAGCTTCGTGTCTGGTTCAACTTGCTCGACAGCGAACAAATCTGATGGCAACGGGGAGGATTTGTAGGACTTAATTTTCCTTTTTTCTGGGTTTTCACTTTTTTCCAGAAAATTTTTAAAATTTTGTAGGCTTAAAAATGTAGGATTCATAAACAGATAAATAGATAATTGATTGGCTTTTTGTATGCCACAACTATTAAGTGTTATTAATTGAATTAACCAACTTTTCTTCTATTTAAAAATAATTCACAACTGCAATTCGACTCAATTTTGGCCCGTCTAAAAATATTTTAAATATTTTTTCTTCATCGAGAAGCTGAAAAATGGGAGCAATGCTCGTGTCACAGCTGCTGGGGTCAACTGAACAGCAAACAAAACCAATTAAGCTGGCCTTACTTATTGTTGGCCAGCAATCAAATTGTGGCAATTTAACAAAGTAAGCAATTATGGCAAATACTCGCAGTTTCATGTCACATAAACTGAGGGAATCTGCGAGACATGACAGAAAGTAAAATTGTTTAATCATTGAGCTTAATTTCAATCGGAAAACCAGTTTAGCACTAAGCCTATCAGGCACACTCAACTTGCTCGATCTAGTTTACGTAGACTATATGCCAGAGGTAACTTCAATACCCTAACAAGTGTGGCACTTGAGTATTTAAAAGATCTCTAAGGTCAAGTTCATGATTATTTACTAAAAGAGAGTTCAATGAGTTCATGGAGACATTTTAATTATAATAATTATTCATTTTCAATGCTTCAAAAGGGATTTTAACCATGATAAGAAATGTGTTATAGATTTATGTTTGAATATATTATGGAATGTTTTTATTTATTTTAATTTTTAAATTTATATTTCTGTAAATTTAAAATTTTCACAGTGTCTCTCAACACCGTTTTTTAGGTATCTTTGCTGTACAGAGCTTATGGCCATTGGAAGTTGGTCTAAGTGGCGAAATATGATTGCATTTGCAGGCACATGAGAGGAGCGCCAAAATTGAGATGATTGAATAGCCAAACGAGTTGCCGATTGAAAGTGCCTATGGAAATCTAGTAGGCTTTCGCGAAAAGTGGGCGTGAAAGAAAGTTGATGATGATGGCGATTGAGTCTCTCAATACAGCTTAAAAATAAGCCAAAACTGGGACTGGTTTTTGGGCAAAGGGGCTTAGAAATGGTTTGATGATAAAGATGTAACTATAAACCTGGGGTTAAATTAAAGGAGTAAAGATTGTTAATGATTAAATTAGTTATTTACCAACTAAATACTATCTACCTATAAATAGTGAGAGTTAGAATATCTCTCCCTCAACTTTCCCTGTTACAACTTTAATCAGTGAAACAACATTTCCACGCCTAACCATTCCGCAAAAAAAAAACTAGTACTAGACCCAATAAATCTTTGTTTAGACAAATCCAAAGAGCATAAAAGCCTTTCGCCTGAGCTGCCACACAGAACATACGATCCGGACTGCCGCCAGATGTAGCTCCAGACTGACTGCTCCAACACTGCCCCTGCCCGCTAATGGCATTAAGCCCCTGCCCAAAAACACTAAGCATGCATTTTATTGCCTTTTGTCGGACCTTTGGAAACGCGGGGGCGGCGAGGAGCGGACAGGAGGACCAAGCCGGACACTTTATCATTTCAATGGCAACCGGCGGACGCTGCACTGTTTACTTTTCATTTTATAGAGCCTGTCCCAGGATTCCGCCCACTCGAACCAAGTCCCGACATTGTTCACTTGCTCGTCTCTCCCATTGCTGAATGGTTCGTCTATGCAAATATTTTTATTTGCCTTCTGGTTATTGTTGTCCAGCTAGTAGAAACCACAAAAAAATGGAGTATAGATATTTAAGTCAAGCAACTATTTAAATACTCCATACATTTTTACTTACATTTGAATTTTTAAAAAATGAAATAATACGTTTTTTGAACTCTGATCGATCAATCATTGCCTAGTTCCCTAAGGTGTATTCTTTATATTTTAAAATTAGGAATAAATATTTATTTACCTTGTTTTTGATGTAATTATTAATATTTAGTCTACCCTTTCTGTCTTCACGCTTTATATACCTTAAAACTCCGCTTAACCAAGAAAAAACCAACTATTCTTAGACAAGTTCTTGTCTCTTTAATATTTTGCACATTTTACAACTTTCCACTGGGTTAGTTTCCACAGGAATTCACTACCCTCTAGTCATCAGCGTAATCAAGTTCTTCAAATAGCTAATGGTTCCCGGGGACTTAATTAATCCAGTATTTAGCATATAATTATGGAGTTCACCTGTTTTGATCTTTCCCTGTTCGTGTCAGCCTTTTTCTCCTCTATCCCGGAAAATGGTCCCCAGGGGATGGACAAACTTCTGGCTCAGCCCACCGTCAATTCAATTTTCCTTTACGACCTAGCAACAACAACAACAACAACAAGGGGGGAAAACTGCTGGAAAAAGTAATCATCGTTGCAATTGTTTCGCATTTTTCACATTGTGACGGAGGGGAAGATGAATGCCGACTTTGATGATGACTACTACGAATGGATGGAGAGGAGAGTCGTTCTGCCTCCCACTTTGCCATGTGATTCCTGCAGATGACAATTTCTGGCTAACCAATTTCTTTTTGGTATGACTAATGGCTAACGAGTGAAATCGAAATTTTGGCATCGATTGAAGCGCCACTTGGGTTAAAGAGTTGCAAAAAAAAGCAACCCTTAAATGTGACTCTGTAAGTGTGGCTTTATTTTTATTAAAAACACCGGCCGCCGGAGGCCTGGCTTGAACATAAAAGTCTAGGCAAATCCAGGGAGAGGGAAATTATTTCGGGGGACATCTCGTGCTCTAAAACAAAAGGAAAATGTCAACATTTACCCAAAAAGAAATAAAAAAATTGCGTGGTGCGTCGGCTAACAATGGCAAATTTTGCTCTGTGGATGAGTAGTCCTGGTGAGTTGTTCGTTTTAAACAAAAAGGGATGAATCTTTATGAACCATGAGTTGCCATGGTTTGTTCTTTTTGCAAAGGGTATGATTATTATAATTAGATAGGCAACCTTTTCTAGTATAGATGAGCTTATAGAAATAATAGGAACATGCTAAAGAAAATATTAATAAAAGCGAAATTAATTTTCTATAAAAGAAAGCTCAATGCCTGCTTTTGAATAAGTGCCAAAAAACGGTTAGAGTAAGTAATTTGTCAAGTTAAAAATATAAAAAAAAGGAGCTCTAGTAACATGAAGTTCGGCAAAACCTTTGAGAGTCTTTTAACATCCGAATGGCAGAAGCAGTACATGAATTACAATGTATGTAACAAGAACTCTCTGATTAAATTTAAAATTAAATAAAATGCATTCCATAGGAGCTTAAAGCCATAATAATGCGTGCCGTGGACGACGCCCCGGAGGAAGGCGGTTTAAACATCTCCGCCATAAGAGAGTACTATCAGGAGTTTGAGGCTTTCTTTCTAAACACCTGCCATCAGGAGCTTACCAGAGTGAATGATTTCTTCAATTACAAGCAGGCAGAGGCCCGCCGGAAGTTGGCCACATTGAACTACCAACTGATGCGAACAGGAACGGCAGCGGGTTCAGCGAATTCCAGGAACCAACAGCAGGAAACTAATCCAAAGCCGCCGACAGCCAACAAACTACGCCTGGCCATGAGAGAGTTCTATCTAAGGTTCTTTATTAAATTTAATTTAATTTTAACCTTTATTTTGATTCCCTAAACAGCCTAATCATGATGCAAAACTATCAGACGCTCAACAACACAGGCTTCCGGAAGATCTGCAAGAAATATGACAAGTATCTAAAGTCCGATGCCGCGCTGGCATGGTACGAGCGATTTGTTTTAGGAGCGAGCTTCACTGTAAGCTCGGAGCTGGACAGGATGATCGTGACCGTGGAGGACCTGTACACCCAGTATCTAGCCAAGGGGGATCGGTTCAAGGCCATGGAGAGCCTCCGTGTGCCGCCGCTGGGGCAACCAACTCCTCTGATCCATCTCTTCTTCTCAGGCCTCTCCATGGGCCTGTTTTTGGTGGGCTTCATCATGTGCCTGCTTGTGTGTAGGTGCCAAGAAACATCAAACATTTACATATTCCTCACCTGGCAATTTCAATTATCTCGCTCAATTTCAGATTTCTGCTTAGATCTGACACCAGAGTTCCGGTCTATATTCATCAGCCTTTTCAGGGGTCCCATTTCGGGAGTGATCTTCGGACTCTACCTGGCCATTAACGTGAATATTTGGCAAAAGGTGGGAATTAATCATGTGCTAATCTTTGAGCTGGAGCGACGTGACGCCGTTTGCGGAGTGAAGGCCCTAGAAATGGCCTGTTTCTTGGGTTACTTTTGCTCACTAAATGTGCTGCTCTACTTGCTCTACAATGAGTTCTATATGGACAACCCGTACATGATTCCGCTGGTCGAGGTGGCAGTCGTTGCCGTGATTGTTCTCAACCCCATACACATCCTCTTCTACTCGGCCAGGATTTGGCTGCTACGCGTGACCGGTCGCATGCTCCTAGCTCCCTTCTTTTTTGTGCAGTTTGCTGACTTCTGGCTCGCGGATCAGTGGTGCTCAGTGGTCACCTGCTTTGTGGATCACTATCGCCTGGTTAGGTTCTATGTTCGCTACTTGTTGGGCTGGCCCTCGGCCTTTGACTTTGGAGCAGACTATGCAGTTGCCATCATACGGTGCCTGCCCCCGTGGATCCGACTCTGGCAGAGCCTGCGTCGATACCGGGATAGCAGCTCCAGATCTGCAGACTATCTAATCAATGCATTTAAGTACACCTTGTCCATCATCGTGGTCATCTTCTCCACTGTTCAAATGGAGACAAGTGGTGAGTGGTTAAGTTTTATTTTCTGACTTGTGTTAATGATATAATTTAATTTTTAGGAAATTACAAGAGTGTATTCCAGAATCCCTGGACTTGGGTTTATCTAACCAGTGCTTTGATCTCTTCATTTTACTCTCTGGCCTGGGACATGCTGAAGGACTTTGGATTGTTTAGGGAATGGAAGGGAGAAAACCTATTTCTGCGTGATCAACTTGTCTATCCAAAGGTACTTATTGAACCTTTATTTAAATCTTGTTTTAATCAACGCGTTTTTCAGTGGTTCTATTACTTTGTGATTGTCGAAAATACTTTGCTACGTTTTGTGTGGCTTTTGGAGTTTGCAATGGTCTATCAGAACGTCTTGGCTTCGCATACTGGCACGACACTAGCTTCTTTTTGCGAAATGACGCGACGCTTTCTATGGAACTTTTTGCGCTTGGAGAATGAACATTTGAATAATTGCGGTCAGTTTAGGGCCACTCGGGACATATTCATAACTAGGGTGAATTCAGAAGAGGAGCTGTTATTGGAGTCCATGATGGATGAGTCCGAGAAGGCCGGAAAGGAACACCTGGACAAGAAGTATTTTTGAATACTTTTTTGTAACACAAAAATAAAGAGGATTGGATTGGTCAAAGGTTTTACACTCTCATCCTATCTCTATCTCTGCCTTTCCTTTGTGTCATCACTTTCCCCAGATCCTCTTTCCACTTTTCACTGCGTCAATTGCCAACAATTGACAGTCAATGAAGCGTCAAGCCACCCTAAGCTCAGACAGCCAGGACTTTCCTCCTCACCCGTTCGACTCTTGGCACACAAATTGAATAAAATTAATCTCACATTTACGAAATAAAAACCACAAATGGAATTATAAATTCAACACAGAGGAGCAGACCATGTGGAAAAAACCAAGCCCGCAGGACAACAAAAGTTAAGCCAGACTAGGCACAAGGACATCCGACATCCAAAGCTGGAAGCTGAAGCGCTCTCGGCCAAGGGACTTGACAACCTGCCATTGTGGAGTGGCCACAGAGCCAGAACGGACGGCTGCATTGTGGCAGACTCAGGCGGAAGGTTAGCCAGATCCTGGGGGAGGTGGTCCCTGCTCATGGTCACGCATAAATGCATGCGAATTAGGCAGCCACAGGAACACACGCACGTGAGCGGATTTGTCCTATGCTCAGCTCCAATCGGGGGTGGATTCGGGCCCCAACGTGCATGGGAATTTCCTCCCCATTAAAGGGCCCGTCCTCGGGGGTTACTTTCGAGCCAATTCCAGAAGGAAAGCTCGCTTACAAATGCTATAAATACACTTCAGTGGGGGCAACATATTGCCGGCATGTCTGCCAAAGCAATTTGCAGTTATAGATGGTGGGGGGTTGACGGGATCAGCTGTTGCTGAAACCTTAAACATATCCAAAGACAATTCCGGGAGCAGTGTAGAAATGTCCTTGGGTTTTAATTATGTGCGTCAGTGCAACATGTTGCTCCCACCAGCATCCCCAAAAAATCACAGTAAGAGCTTTAAAGAAAACAGGGAATTTGCCAAGTGCCAGGACAAGCCCTCCATCTGAAATGCAGAAGCAGCTGTCGTCGTTAAAATGGTTTTGAATTTTGCATTGGAAAATTTCTTGGCAAGAAATTTTAATAGTACACAGAGAAAAACAAAAGCTATATAGAACTTGCTAATTCAAGAGTTTCAGTTAAATAGAGAATATTATAGCAGGAGAAAATAGTTTAAATAGAATGATAAGTAATATTTATTAAAGAGCTACAATTATATAAACATTCATTTTTGTTTTTAGTTTTCGTTCTTGCTTTCAGTGTATTCCTTTTGGGGTTGCTATTTTGTCACCGTTCCGACTGCCTGGCGGGGAATCCCCTTAGCTGTTCGGGTCTAGGGCGACAGACCGCAGACGTTATAAACAACGCTCTGGAGGCTCGCTTCCCGCTCCCCGTGTCGCAAGTGAAAGTTTAAATGGAGCCCCCCCCAAAAAAACATGTTGCCTACCGCACAACTAGGCGCAAGGACGGCCATAAAAATCCTGTGCAATTTATTTGTCTGCTCGACCAAAAGCGAACGCAAAACATTTCCGTAACGCATTTAAATTTCATAGTCAGTGAAAGTCATCAACACATTGGCTAGGGGGCAGGGGCCAGAGTTAAACGACCAAACAGAATGGGGGGCGCCGCACAAAAGCTTCCGCTTCCTGTCTGCAACTTCGAGGATTCCCCGAGGGTTGCAAACACCGAGCGACGAAGGAACCCCAAACCACAGCCCCAGCCAAGGACCTCCCCCAGCCGACATCGAGTAAATAAAGTTTTCTAATTTTGCCATCTTGCTTTGAATTTTTCAGAGAATACTTTCCCCCCTTGGAGTTTCCCGCCGTCAGCAGCACTGCGGAGATTTTCCTCTCTTTAAACTTGTAGTATGCCAATTTTGTTTGCTTTTCTGGGGTTTTTCCTGCCTTTTTTCTGATGACATCTGTTGGGCGAGGTGTGAGGCGAAACCCCCTGAAGTCAAGCCAGGACCCAACTGCCTGTAATTTCCGGCAAACAAACCAATAAATCATATTAAACTTGCTTGGAATTTTCGGCAAGCGCAGAAAGAAATGCGTTCCGGAAGTCTTATGACAGTCTATAAGAAATTCAAAGGAAATCTCTGACATTGGATATGCTGCGTCCTGGGTGAAATGATGGGGAGGATTTATGCATCGATTGAAAGTGGATGTAGAACCCCGCAAGGAATTGGTAGCACCACAGTTTAAATAATGGCAGAGGCAAGTTTTCTTTTGGGGGCGTGTACAAGCTTAAAAAAAAAAAAAAGAATTTAAAGTAATAAAATTATATTTCATAGGGTAAAAACTTCAATTTTTTTGTTAAATAATTAAAATCATTACATTTTAATGTTTTTGATGTAGGATTTCAATTTCATTTTAATTTATCTTTGGAATTTAAAATGAAAGCCCTTAAAAACGGACGGAATTGTCTGCTGCCTATAATTGGTGATGTTTCAAAAAATATAGAACAGGAAAATTTTAAAATATTTTTACCTTGACCACGGCTACCTAGGTTCCCTGGTCAAGTTCAAGGTAGTGCAACAGAATGATATAGTTTAATTTTGTAACCAGGATATTTTTATAGTTAAAACAAGAAACTTGACATTTCCAAAATAATTAAAAAAAAGTGAAAGAAACAATATCTATTTATTTGAATTATAGTGCTTATTTAAATATCTGAGAAAAATTTATTTTTTTAATAATAATTTTTTAATCTAACTTTTAGTACATACACAAACCTAGAGTATAAGAGTAGTACATTCACAAACCCAGAGAATGTGACTTGATAAGTATAAGAGTTGCCAATACACAATATAAAGCTTGCAACTAAGTAGATAATTTTCAGTTTATTTTTCGATTTCGGCTTAATTTTTTATTTTATTAGATATAAATATATTGAATCCTTAATTTTTAGCTCAAACACACACCAATCATGAAATTACAGATAGCTTTTTTTCAAAACCATTAATAGCAGATACAAAAACCCAGTATTATAAGCACTTGCCTTAGCGTGGACATAAACCGGAGGCGATGTAACATTATGAGTAAAAAAATAACAAATTAAATTAATTAATTAATTAAAAATCCCCTAAAACTATTTAGAATATGAAAAGAAGTCATACAAAAAAATATTATCCAAAAAATAATAATAATAATTCAATCCACAGTACATGAGATAGTCTGTGGCATAAGATAAACCATTAAAGTTTTTACTGTTAAATTATGTTGTTCTATTTAGGAATAGGAATATTTTTATACCCTTGCAGGGTATTATAATTTCAGTCAGAAGTTTGCAACGCAGTGAAGGAGACCTTTCCGACCCTATAAAGTATATATATTCTTGATCAGCATCAACAGCCGAGTCGATCTAGCCATGTCCGTCTGTCCGTCTGTCCATCTGTCCGTCTGTCCGTCTGTCCGTCTGTCCGTCTGTCCGTCTGTCCACCTGTCCGTTTCTACGCAAACTAGTCCCTCAGTTTTAAAGCTATCTAAATGAAACTTTGCATATAGTCTTCTATATACTCTCACTGCTATATATGTCGGAACGGGCCGGATCGGACGACTATATCATATAGCTGCCATACAAATGTTCGATAAATTTTTAGAAAAAAAATTATAACTTGGCTGTTTTTCAATATTTTTGCACAATTTTTTAGATTTGGCCATTATATATTATTTCAGAATTTCGATAAAAATTTCATGAAAATCGGACGACTATATCTTATAGCTGTCATAGGAACGATCGGGAAATTAATAGGAAAAAAACTATAACTTCATTGTTTTTCAACGTTTTTTCATCTACTCCGGGATATAAGCTTATTTTATTATTCTAGTTTTTTTATCACAAATTTCATAAAAATCGGACAACTATATCATATAGCGGCCATAGGAGCGATCGGTAGATGTAGAGAAAATGTAAAGCTGGGAATGCAAAACTGTAACTGTCAAACTGTAAACATAATAATATAGGTAAAATGTAATGAAATAATATCTGCAAGGGTATACAAACTTCGGTGTGCCGAAGTTAGCTTCCTTTCTTGTTTTTGTTCAATTTAAATATATAAGGATATTGGTGGCTCTATATTTAGTTTAATGTTGGAGCTAGTTTTAACCTTATATTTTCTGCTAAATGTCATCTCTGTCACTCACCTGTTCACCATTTCATTGCCGTTTTCCAGGGACTGGGCCAACTGCTGCTGCTCCTGCTGGTTCGTAGTATTGAGCTGCCCAGTAACTGGTGTGGGAGTCCTCAAGCTGCCGCCTATGCCGATGCCCAGCACCGAACCGCCGGAAAGGATGGCCGAGGAGGAGCCGCTGCCGCCAACGCCAATGGACTTGGTCTGCTTGGCCTGCTGCTTGAAACGGCTGAGGGCAAAGAAGAGGGCTAGGACCGCTTTCAGGCGGCCGCTGGAAATGTCGCCGGTGGTGATGTTCTCCAAGCCGCCGACCGACTGACTGCGCAGCACATGCAGGCACGAGTTGACGTTGTCGAACTGCCCATGAAACGGAAGAGGAACACAATATATAGGGAGAGTTTAAATCGCAGCTCAGAGTATAAATAAAATAAATACAAATAAAATCTATTTAAGCACAACGATGACTCATCGCTAGAGCCCTTTGAGCCGCCTAATATAAATGTAAATCCTCGTGCTGCTTTATCGCCGCACCGACTGCGAGTCGTGACTTTGACATGACTCCCAAATGAGGCTCCCAAACACCGAACAAATGCGTTTTTTATAGCTAATTTGCCCAGGCCTTCTTAACTGCTTCACGCACCAGAAAAACCCTCTGGAATCAGGATCGACCCAAAGCCGAACAAAACAAAAAGAATGAACATTAAGATAAAGTGTTCAGACATCAACTGTCTGTTCTTTTCATTTGTCAACACCGAAAAACAGTAAGTGGCAGGTTGCACGACCTAGAGATACGATACTCCGGCTCAAGCCACTCAATTTGGACATTTTTGAAATATTTAAATATACAATAAATTTAAGAACGTTGGGGAATATTCTAAGAACAGATAATTTAGCAGTCGTTATAATATAATAATTGTCATTATATATTGCAGCTATCATCATATAAAAATGTTAAATATTCTGAAATTATAAAGTAAGTTCCTGAAAACATTTTCAGTTTAAAAAGTGGGTTTCATTTCATTTAAAAAAACGAATTTTCTGACAGCTTACATGATTAACCACTTCTCTGGTGCTTTCAGCAGAGAACATCTGAGATATTGTCAACACCCTTCCGAAAAGCTTGAGAAATTTGTCTTTTGTTTATGGTCCTGCTGCTATTTCATATTTTTAAGCCCCCACAACCTTCCCCCCACGTTGTCATAGCGCTTGTAACAATTGAAACAAAAAATCAAGAAGAATACGTATGGTAAATGGAACAGAGAGGCGAATGTCGAAAATCAAAGTTGACAACAGACATGACAGCAGACAAATGACAAACGTCTGCCGTCCGTCGACTGTGTGCACTCAATTTGCTGCCAGAGTCCAAAAGTCGGAGAACCCAAAGCGAGGTCCACACTTAGATGAGATAGATAGATAAAACTTTAAGCAGCTGCTAAACTTATATGGCAAACTTTATAATAACTTTGCGATAGACAAAATGGAAGCGTCTTTGCGCGCCCAATGACTTTGGCAAACAATTGAAAAACTCAAATAACCGATAAGTTCAAGTTCAATGCCGGCAAGTATCTGCTAGATACTTTCGGCGACTCCTTTCTAGCGGCGGCTGTCAACATTTGTTTTTGATAAAGCTATCTTTTGGAGTTGTCTCATAGCCAGGCCAAACTTTCCTTTCGAAATTTGTTGCATTATAAATTGAAGCGATAAATTTACATTAATTTTAACTCAGCTTACTTTTGCTGCCGGCAAATGGGCAAGATTCTTATAAATTGCTGCAGTTATCGGTTTGAAAAGTTGAGTTTGTTTTCAACTTCCAAAACATATAATTTTATTTCTTTTTGATTAATAACAGTAACTTATCACCCATAACTATGTGTTATTTATTGAATTATACAAAGTAAAATAAAAATTAAACAAATCCTACGGAATATTTAATCCATTTATTAACTCAAGGATTTAAATAAAAATATTAAATTGGCTTTCCTATGGCATATTAAAGGCTTTCCGGGTTCCAACTGTGATCGGACCATTTGTCACGGCCGCTTTAATGGTGGGACCTGCCATTAGCTCCACTTGACAACATCGTTTCTTTTGGCGCGCCGAGGGCTACTGCACTATCGCCACTATCTCGATCAATCACCCACCGCGTTGACAGCAGCAAGTGTCAAACAGAGCGGTGCACTTATTTACTATTCGCCCCACAATGACGGGCGCCCGCCACAGTGGAGCGTAGATATTATTGTGTGTGCGACACAGTTAAAGCCCATTGAATCGCATCGTCAGTGGGGTAAGCAAAGTGCACTGAAACCCCGACTTATGTAATAGGCAACAAAAGTCAAATAAGCCACAATGAATGGATGGGGAGGGGGAATGCAACAAGATGCGGCAGCTGTTGCCGCTCCAAACCGCATCCAGCAAGCATATGCATTGAAATCGCGTAACCGATACGACACTCAAGCGAAGTCTGCCGAAGCCACAGGGCAAGGAGCTGCCAGACTCCGAGATACTTGCCAAAATATTGGGAAACTGACTTTCCATTCACTTCGTTCGCCCAAAAAAGAGCACAAAAATAAATGCAAATAATATTGTTCATATCGAAGTTGTCAATTGCAGTGGAGGACGCAAGAGTCTTATCAGAGAGACCTCTCCTTTCAATGGGTCAACAGTGGTTAACAAGCTATTTTTGGCAGGATTATAAAGTTGTCAAATTAAATTATATAATATTAAATATATATTTCCAACTAATAACTTACATATTTTATTAAAGTCTCATCTTTCTTAATAAATTATGGATTTTCTAGTAACTTATATTATTTTAATAATATTTTGATAATAAAAAATAATAATAGAATAACCAAACACCTCCTCCTGGGCACTTTCATGTCCTTTTCCTCATCGTTAAAGCACTGTATCCTGCAGGGCAACGATATGATGGCATTTTTTAACTCGCTGCAATTCGAGCCAAAATGAAGACAACAAACTGGCCAAGTGACGCCTCATTCTCATTGTCACAGGACACACAGCGTCATTAAAGCGAACTGGTGGGCCAAAATGAGGCAGCTTCGTGGCAGTTGGCAGTGGTGGAGAGTGCTCCAAGGGACCTGAGGCGGAAACTGCTGCAGCCTTTATTGACATTCTTCGATTCGATATTTCTATCTTTGTGTTTGTGTGCCAAGCGCAGAGAATTTCTGAACTGCACTCGTTGCATTGTTGTTGGCCAGTGAGTCTGTGTTTAATTCCCCGTCTCCTCCTCATCCTCCTCCTGTGATCTTACTCATTTAATGTGAATTTATCGCAAATACAATGCCGATGCTCTCTTTATGCCTCTCGCAGCAAAGGATTAAGCGTCGTGGTCAACAAAGACGACGTAAATGAAATCGAACGGTTGGTGGGGGCGCAGGGAAAATCCTTTTGTTAATGGTGCTAAGGAGTCGTCCGAGGACAGGATATGCCTGACCAACGGCAAAGTCTCATCATACCAGAGCATTGTATGACATTTTATTTAATATATAAATTTCATTTCATTTGATTTATGCACGCTTTAAAGCGCACTGAAATAAATCAATGTAGGCGTCCGATGCCGAATGTCCCGCGGCCAAGCCCCTTTTTTAATTAACCGCCGGCAAAAGGAAACACACACAACAAAATATTTGAATACGAGAGTATTTTCGTCTGATTTCGGACACAATACCAATATGGTTTTATCTGTGCGTCTGGCAGGTGAGGGGGAGACCAGAGACCAGAGTTATTTACGGGGTATAGTTCAACAGCTATTGGGGAGTATTCGCGCATTAAATTTGCTACTTATCGAACGGGGTACTTATGATAGATCAATAGATTAAAATTAAGCCTGAACAGGTTTATATCTTGAATTCGGAGTTGTATTATTTAGTAAAACCATACATTTATTAAACTATTTTTAGTAGAAGTTGAACTTTCTATTAGATGTCTTCGTAGGAGAGGGTTTTTACATATTTTGGTATATAATACAATTTATTTTTAGTAAAATAAAAAAAATAAATAAATAAAAGAAAGCTAACTTTGGCCAGCCAAAGTTTGTAAACCCTTGCAGGTAACAATTAAAATATATCATAACTAAGCCGAAAATGTATTAATTTTGAATCGGATAGCAGTTTTGTGTTACTTTTTATTAATTTAAAAAAACTGCATACCAAATTTAAAATTTTAAGAAATAAAAATTTTTGGCCATTTTAATGATGTAACCCCTTATCAAATTTCGCAAAAATGCCCAAAAAATCGATTTCTTCCGGACATGTCTAGAAAGATTCGCATGTTAATGCTGATCAAGAATATATATGGTTTATGGGGTCGGAAATGATTCCTTGACTTAGAAAAATATTATTTTGTATTAAAAAAACTGGATTTTTTATATTAAAAAACATCTTTATTTTTTTTTTTTAATTAAAAATATCATAACTCGGCCAAAAGAGCATTAATTTTAAATCGGAAAACTGTTCTGTGCAAAATTTTCTACAGTTAAAAAATCAGCATACTTCATTTAAAAATTTTGAAAATTCAATTTTTTATCAAAATCCAAAATTTTAATGATGTAACCCCTTATAAAATTTTACAAAAATGGCAAAAAAATCGATTTCATCCTGACATATCTAGAAAGATTCCCCTGTTGATGCTGATCAAGAATATATATACTTTATAGGGTCGCAAACGTCTCCTTCACTGCGTTGCAATCTTCTGACTGAAATTATTATACCCTGCAAGGGTATAAAAAGGTTATTTTATTAAAAACAAATATTAAAGAACTAAGTGAGACCTAATTTTAATTTAAAAATAATAAATAAATTAAATAAAAGATGTGTGCACCTATTATTTTAATCATCTATATTAAATTCTCTTTAAACCAAGAAAGAGCTATCTGTATTTTAAACGTCAAAATAATTACCCAAAAGAACCCTCTCACTCTGCCGGTCTTAACTCCCTTTGTGATGTAACTTCAACTAGACACTGAGTTGCCAAAAACCAATTAGCAACTAATTAAAAGCTCAAAGTCACACACTCGCACCCTAAAAGATCTGTGTGCTGCAGTGCAGACGTCTTGGTATCCGGGAATCAATAACCAAAATCCACACAAATTCCTCGAATCGCTCAAAATGAGAAAATTCCAGGACAATGATAAGCAGACAGGCAGGCAGGCGGCGGCTGCAGTTGGAGTCACTCGATGGGAGACTCGAGAATGCGGAAGGGCAGCGCCAAATGGCAAAACAATTTCAATAATTTCAAGTGTCCTTCGTGGCTGTCAGAAGACACTCATGCTGGTAGTAGTTTCGATAACGATTTCGATTCTGAACAATTGTCGCCAAAGTCACGACCTCCGAAGGACG